GGCTGAGGATAGAGATGCAGGAACAATCGGGGAGGGGGGCAGTTGGAATATGCCCCAGACCCCTAGATTTTTTAATTGAAGTTTCATTGAGATGACTCAGAGAAGGCAATGTCACCTCACTCCAGTACTCTTGCCTGGAAAATCCCATGGATGGAGGAGCCTGGTAGGCTGCAGTCCATGGGGTCGAGAAGAGTCGGACACAACTGAGTGATTTCACTTTCACTTTTCACTTGCATGCACTGGAGAAGGAAATGGCAACCCACTCCAGTGTTCTTGCCTGGAGAATCCCAGGGACGGGGGAGCCAGGTGGGCTTTTGTCTATGGGGTCGCACAGAGTCAGCCACGACTGAAGCAACTTAGCAGCAGCAGCATTAAGATGACTGTAGATTCATAGGCAGTTGGAAGAAGTTGTAAAGAGAGATCCTTTTTATGATTTGCCCAGTTTCCCTCAGTGGTAGCATTTTTTTTTTTTTTTTTTTTTAGTGGTAGCATTTTGCAAATCTATAGTAGATTATCACCACCAGGATATTGACACAGATGTAATCCACCTCTCTCATTCAGATTTCCCATTTGTGTATGTATTAAATGTATAAAATCTTGGAATTCCCTCGTGGTCCAGTGGTTAGGACTCCATGCTGTCATTGCTGAGGGCCCGGGGTTCAATCTCTGGTTGGGGAGCTAAGACCCCACAAGCCATGTGGTGCATCAAAAAAAATCTATAAAAAAATCTATTTTTAAAAATAATTTTTATTGGAGTATAGTTGATTTACAATGTGGTGTTTCTGCTGTACAGCAAGGCGAATCAGTTACACTTATACATATATCCACTCGTCTTTAGATTCTATTCCCATATAGGTCATTACAGAGTCTTACTTAGAGTTCCCTGTGCTATATAGTAGGTTGTTTTTTAAAATAATTTTTAAAAGTCATTTATTTATTGGACTGTGCTGTGTCTTAGTTACAGCATGAAAGATCTATCTTATTTAAAAAGAAAAAAAAAAAGATCTTCACTGAAGCACGTGAAAGTGAAAGTCACTCAGTCATGTCCAACTCTTTGCAACTATACAGTCCATGGAATTCTCCAGGCCAGAATACTGGCGTGGGTAGCTGTTCCCATCTCCAGGGGATCTTCCCAACTGAGGGATCAAACCCAGGTCTCCCACATTGCAGGTGAATTCTTTACCAGCTGAGCTACCAGGGAAGCCCCTCACTACTGCATGTGGGATCTTTAACTGTGGCATGGGAACTTTTTTTTTTTTTGGCATGGGAACTCTTAGTTCCCATGTGAGATCTCATTCCCTGACTAGGGATTGAACCCAGGCCGCCTGCCTTGGGGGCTCAGAGTCTTAACCACTGGACCACCAGGGAAGTCCCTGTCCTTGTTCATTGATTTAACAGCTAACACTGCCAAGCTCAGTCCTGGAGTTACAGATGTGAGTAAGACAGACCTTACCCATGAGGCACTTGTGTTCTAGTCAGGGGCATCAGATGATAAATAGCAATATATATAGTCGTACAATATGTCAGAAGGTGAAAAATGCAGGGTTGGGGCGATGGAACTCTAGTGGTCAAGGAAGGCCTCCCAAGTGACAGGTGAGAAGGAGTCATGGCCAGCCAGGAGAAGAGTCCCAGGCAGAAGGAAGAGGTAGTTAAAAGGTCCGAGGTAGAAGTAGCTTGTGTGTTTGAGGAGCAATGAGGATGCAGTGTGGCTGGAGGTAGTGAAGAAATCAATAATCAATATCATGTGGGTCTCATGGACCACTATGATGACTTTGACTTTTTTTTTACTTTGACTTTTATAAACATGAGGAACTATTGATTTTTGGCAAACCAGGAGTGTGATCTGACTTACATATTAAGAGTTATTCTGCCTGCTAAGAGGACAGGAGGCTGGAGGGGCAAGGCTAGAAGCAGGGACACCAAGTGGGAAGCTCTTGCAGTATTCAGGCATCAGAAGAATGTGGCTTAGACCAGAGAAGGCAGTGGCCATGATGAGAAGTGGTCTGATCTGGGTACATATTGAAGGAGGTATCCATAGGATTTCCTGGCATACTGGATTCAGGGTGTGAAAGAGAAGAATCAAGGGGCCTCTGGGGTGTTTGGCAAGATCTAACTGCCATGACCTGAGCTGGGGGAGGCTGTAGGTGGGGTGGTTTTGCGGAATGACCCAGAACCAAGACATGTTTGGAGATGTCCATTAGACATTTACATGGAAATATGGAGCAGGCAGTTGGCTAATTAGTCTGAAGTTCAGGAGAGAGCTCAAGCTATAAAGAGAAATGTCGGTTTCCAGGTAGTATAATATTTAGGGCCAAGAGCCTGGGTCACTGATGAGAGAGTAAAAGAGAAGAGGAGAGAGCTGGAGCCTAGTCATGAACAATCTAGGGTTAAAGGCCCAGTGTGGGACTTAAAGTACTGCCCCACTGATGAAGGATGTCCAGTAAGATGCCTCAGCCCCTCTCTCAATCAGAGACCCCAAAGGCTTCTGCTTTGGGGGCAAGTGCTGGGATGAGATGCTCCAGGAATAAGCTGTTGCTTTAATTTGTATCTGCCCTTTCAGGATGTTGGCAGTTTAGGGGTGGTAGCACCTGGCAACTTCTCTCCATTATGGGACCCTCAGGTAGCATCTTAGGGACAGCTAAGCATCACTTTTCCCCATTCACCCTCTTTCTTTCTGTCTTTCAAGGAACCACCACAGCAACACTTCTTCTCCAAGCATGACAACCGCACTTCCTTTGACAAGGTGAGTGTTGGAGAGAGGAAGGAGAATGGGCAGCCCTCCAGCCTAGGTTGAAATTGAGGTAGGGTGGAGGGGATAAGACATGGTGGGCAGAGCAGGCTCCTTTATCCAGAGGAGTGTCTGTCTGCCTGATAACCTCTTTCCTCTGGCAAACAGCCATTCCCCAAACAGAGGTCCCTCTGCTTTGGCTTCCTCCATCAGTTTGCCTGAAAATGTGCAAATATCCTAGGGGCCACTGACTTTCTGGGGCTCTATTCGCTCTAGAAAGGAAGGCATGGCTGGGATGCAGTTCAGAGAGGCTGGGGTACAGGCCAGGGAGGCCAGGCATCACCAGGCCTGCTGGGGTATAGGAGGGGCCCAAGGAATCGCCTGGTGCCAAGACTGTGGGCCAAGGGCCCATACCGTTGAGAAGGGGCCGTACTGCCTGCTACAGGGAATCGGAAGGCGGAAAGACTTGGAGCGCCTGTGGCAGCAGCATACCTTCCTGCGCTGGGCACCCTGTGAACTGGAGTTGCGCCAGCTGCGGCCCCTCAAATCCTCCTACCAGACCCAATTCCGGTCCGGGCCAGGACTCAGGGACTTCCCCCAGCGCCTTGTCCACTTTGTGCAGATCCAGCCTCCCCACGTCAATACCACCTACCAGCAGAATTTCTGCCAGCCTTCCCGGGGTGGCCACTGTGGCAGCGACAACGTGGGCCCCCAGACCCCAGTCACTGACACGCTGCCTGACCTCCCGGGGATCCCCAGACCCAAGCTGCTGCAGCATTATCTTCACGCTGGGGTCTCTGAGTGTCTAAACTGGTCCAGAACATTAAACAAGGATGACTGACCCAGAGGCCCATCTGTGCTTGCAGCTCAAGAGGTCTCAGAGGCTGGAGAACAGTAAGCTGGGCCCTCCGCCTGCCTCCTCTGTTGCTTGTGCCGTGGCGCCTTGTGCTAACATCCCATGCTAACAGTCCATGAGGGTTACCTTGGACACAGCAGGTGGGTTCCAGGACCCCAAATCCGTTCTGGCCACAAACCCAAACGTGAACCTCCTGCAGTCAGTATGGCTGCAGGAAAAGCAGAGTCAGCAGCCCCTATTGGTGGGCAGCAAAGACTGGAGGAGGAGGCCAGGGCTGGCAGCTTTGCTTTTTTGGGAGACTACTGCCTCCAGGGCGTCTGGTGAGTGGCCACACCGCCATGCCTAAGAGACAGCTTCCCCACAGCTGGGACAGAGGGACCCAACCCCCACTGGACCCCCACCCCCACCACCACCATGGAGGTGAGCAGAAGCCTGGAGGAGATGCTGTGTGACATGGATCTGGAGGTCATTTTAATTCTATGGTATTTGTTTTGTGAGCTGTAACACCAAGGGCAGTGGGAGAGGATGGTCATCCTAAGTCACAGAAGAGGAGCAGAGGCTTAGGTGGGCCTCTGCTCACCTCGAAGGTTCTTAGGTAGAACCCTTTGAGGGCTGAGGCCAGATCCTAAAGGCTCCTCTAGACCCTCATCCCTGGGAAAACTGAGGTCCCCAGAAGAGAGCCAAGGACATGGGGGTAACATAGGTAACATAGGGGTAACAGAGGTAACATAGAGTCCACAGCAGAGGCCACAAGCCGGAGTTAGCAGCACTTTTACTTCCACATCTGAACCCCCTCGGTCCTCACAACAGCCCTGTGAGGTAGGCAGGGCAGGAAGGTCCCCGAGGTCCCCATTAACAGATGAGGATGCTGAGGCACAGAGAGGTGAAGTGACTTGCCCGAGGTCACACAGCCAGCAGTGTGAAGGGCCCACAGTCAATGTTCTTCTGGCCCTCTGGAGGTCCCCACATCGACGCCTACACCCCTCTGTCTTCCCGCCCTCTCTGAACTCTTCTGGGTCCACGGGGGCCTTCCAGGCAGGCTGACAGCGAGGAGTTTTCAGGAATAGCCACTGGGGTGGGCCTGATCAACTCCAGGTGGGCACTGAGCCGTGGGGCGGGAGGCCAACTCTGCCCTCTCCCACTTCCCAGTTGGTCAGAGGGCCCAATAGTTTCCAGAGCAAGGGTGGAGCTGGGCATGGTCCATGAATGGATGGGAGTAAAGGTGGGTAGAAGGGTGTGTGTGTCCTGCACTAAAGATGAAGGCCACCCCCACGTCCCAGGGGCAGTGTCTCAAGTGCCCCGCCCTGTGTCTCCCTCATCCCACAGAGCCACAGTGAGCTTTCTCAGCAGCGAAAGGAACCACAGACACCCGCTCCTGGCACAGAACTGCTCCTGTGGACAGGTCCCATCAGGCATTCAGACCCCATCACGCAGACACAGTGCCTCCACAGCCTGACTGGGACCCTGGGCCACACCCCCGATGGCAAACAGCCGAGGCCCAGCCTTCAGACTAGAACAGGAGCAGCGGGCTGTGGGCATGGTTGGCAGTGCCTCCCAGCGGCGCCGTGCCAGGCTGAAGGCCTCTACAGAGCCCAGGGGGCACGGCTGGTTTCCTGCCAGAAGGAGACAGAGTGTGTAAAGGGCACAGGCTGCAGGGGCTGTAGATCGTTTGCTCCCTGAGCCCACAGCATGGCCCAGCATGTGTTGCCCCAGGACGGGATACCCAGGGTCTTGCTACCCGTTGCCCCCATTTCATTACTCATTCATCTGTTCGTTCACATTCCCACTTCTCCATTCATTCAGGGGTCATTTGTCCTGTTTCTATCTTCTGGGCCCCTGCTGCTGCAGAACCCACAGTTATGTGCTGAGAGACACCCCAAAGGCTGAGCCAGGTAGACCACCCACTGACTGGTTGGGAAAGGGAAACTCATGAAGTCCTGACCCCTGGAGTACCTAGAGAAGGGCAGGAGGTGGTACTCAGGCAGAGGGCTACTGCTTCCTGTCTCGGGCTCCCCTCCTATCCCAAGCCCCACAGAGACTTACCAAGGCCCCCAATGGCCACGACGTGGTCCCCAAGCGAGCCAACCACAAAGTCAGCTCTCTTGTCCCTCATGCGCAGGCTGCGTGGCAGCTTGGTCCAGGAGCCTGCAGGAGAGGCGAGGAGGTGAGAGCTAGCCCCCTCACGCACTCTGCACCCCTCCAGCCCACGGAGAGTGGGAGGGTAGCCCACACCAACCACTGCTCACCATGCTCCAGGTCGAACATCTCCACAGTGTTGACAAAGTGTGGGCGGGAGTAGAAATTGTGGGGCCCGGGCTGCTGCAGGCCACCCAGGCTAAAGACGCTGCCTTCGGCCATGGCACAGCCGGCAAAGGCCCGGCGGCTGGGCAGGCTTGGGTGTCGGGTCCAGGTACGGGCCTCCAGATCAAAGGCCTCAAAAGCAGTCACTGGGAGCTTGCCCTGGCGGCCCCCTGCCAATGGAATTGGGGCACCTGGGAGGCGGCCCTAGTGGGGGTGGGCCTGGCAGGCCCTTCTTTTACCAGGTTGCCGAGCCTTTACCACTGCCCGCCCCAGCCACCCATACCCAGCTGTGTGCACACCAGAGCATGGATCAACCCCGAAGACCCATAGGTGCTGGGCTTTGGTTTTCCAGCCTCAGCAGGGCCACCGAAAGAGCCTCAGAGCAACCCTGACTCAACCCAACAAAGGGGTTCTTGTCCCACCATCCCAGACTAACCTATAGGGATACATTTGAAGCTTCTGGACCTCAAGCCACTTTGGCACATCCCCAGGTCCTTACCCAGGACATAGATCTTGTTTCCATGCAGGAAGGTGGAGGCCCCGTAGCAGGGTGTGGGCATCGAGGGCAGCGACAGCCAACAATCCCGGCGGGGTTCATATACCCGAACCTGGGCCTGGGGGGCCGTGTCAGGGCCCATTCCCCCCAGTGCATATACCATACCATCTGCAGAGAAAAGAGTAATACAGACTATCCCTGGGCCTGGCCACAGTCCTCCACCCTGACAACTGCCCTGGTCAGGCCTGGGACACACCTATTTACAGTACCCCCTCTCTAGCAGCAGACACCCTCCTGCCTGCATGGTGTGGGGGATGGGAGAGCTAGGATCCCCACTCTGGCCAGGGCCCCTTCAAGTGAAGAGCAGGAGGCAGTTGATCTAATTATAATCCGTCTCCGTCTCCCTGGAGACGCTATGGCAACCAAGTCTGGCATCCAAGCAGGACGGTGGTCAGACCTAGAGGCCACAAGGTGGGAATTATCATGGGGGAAGAAGATTGGGGGTCGGTTTAAGCCAGAGGCGGGGGCCATATGGAGATCTGTTCAACAGGGAGCTCAGACTGGGGAGGGGGCTCTGGGGATCAGCTGGGGGACTGGGAGAAGGAGCCTGGGCCTGCAGGATGAGGGTGCTGTCCATGAGCCTTCTGCCAGCAGTTTTGTAGCCTGTCCTCTCACTAGAGAAGGTTCTTGCCCTGTGACACCCTCAAGAGTCAGCTGGGGGCATGTCTGAGGGCCTTGGGGAGACGGCCCATCAGCTAAGGGCTTCCATGGCAACTGCCTCCAGGCCAGCTTGGCTTTTGTCCATCTCCTCTCCCAGGTTTGTTTGTGTGGCGTGAGGAATTTAAGCACTCGCTGGGCTCTGAGCCAAGGCCCTGCTCCCCTCCCCACTTCCCAGACTATTTATAACTATGGGAGCTATTGGGCCACCCCTTCTGGTCTCTCAGAGAGGAGGAATGGGGCAGAGAGGTGGCCTGGCCCTCCCATCATGCTGGCGGCTAGCCAGGGCTCTTGAGTCTCAGCTCACAGCTGGAAAACGCAGTTAAGACTGCTGCTGGCCCAGCTCAAAACTAGGTACAGAAGGCTACAGGAGGCAAATCCACGTCCAGGGCACCCAGGCAAAATGTATAGCTCCCACCCAACCTCCGAAGGTAAAGGGACCAGGTCAGGAAAGGATGGAGGCTGCTGGGGCACCTGAGGGACCTTCCCTGGGAGGCCACTCACCTCTCTCCACAGTCGCAACCCCCATGGCGGCCTGAGGGAGAGTGGCCCGACGCTCCCAACGGCCCTCGTCAGCCAGGAAGGCCTCCACAGCAGCTACCGGACTCTGGCCCTCATCCACACCACCCACCACTAGCACCTGCTTGCCCAGTACCACAGCAGCCGCACCAGCCCGGGCAGTGGGCAGGGGCGCCAGTGCCACCCACGTGTGCGAGGCCATATCCAATGTCTCAGCAGTGTCCAGAGGCAGTCCAGCCCGACCACAGCCCCCCAACACAAGCAGGTGCCCATCCTGGTACGCCACTGTGCCATATACCCGGCAGGTGGGCATGGGTGGGAACACCTGCCAAGCAAAGGCCCGGCCTCCTCCTGTAGCCATGGTGTTCACCTACAGTGGCAGGCCATGCTATCTGCTCAGGCTGTAGGCCTCAGTGAAGGGCATGATGGGGCCTCATCTTGACTCTACGGGGGATATAAGGGAGTGTGGGGCCAGTCCAGGGAGTTGGTCTTCACCTACAGAAGAGAAGGAAAATGAAGAGTCAGAGCCACTGATACTGATGAGCACCCTGGCCCCAAACTGCTGATGGGAAAAGCAGAGGGAGGACCCACCCCCACTGGCTAGCACACTGATGTGGATTCCCTCCTGGAGTGGGAAGGAGGGCAGTCTCCCAGTTACCCAGGCAACTTCCCCACTGCCTCTGGGGCTCGAGGAACTCTCCTCCCATACCTTGCCGTCACCTAGTTGCTCCCCGGTTAAATCCAGGTCTAGGTGGGAGGTAAAGTAACTAGGATAGGACTTTGCACACCAGCCTGGTTCCCTTCCCCTCAACAGTCCACACCCTGGTGCTCTGCATTGGTGGAGTTAGACTGGACCCTCCCCTTTACTGGCTTCCAGGGTGCTCTGGATAGCCATTGGGGTCTCCCACCTACTGCCAAAGATCAGACTCCAGGGTATCCTTACATCCCATTTGGGAATCATCCCATAGAGTCCATCCATTCCTAGGCAAAAGACCAATATCAGGGTGGTGGAACCGGGAGGGGAGGGGCTGGAGGCCAGAGTTCCACATTTCCCCTCAAGGTCTATCCTCAGGGGTCTGCCCATGCCAGGTCCCCAGAGAGCAGCCTTCTTGATGTCCGGAAAGGGGAGGAAGGTGATTTGGGGAACCAGGAGCACTGACTATCCAGGGCGTTGCCAGCAGGAATGGATAGCTGGACTTTACAGCAGATCCCCAAGTTCCCAGGCTTCTCCTTTCCCAAGGGGGGCCGTATTCCTAGGACCCCTGGTGCCAGGGCCTCCTGGCCCCAAACTTCCAGCTCGGGTAACGCGGAGGTGAGGGGACGGGGGGGCGGGTCCTGACAAGCGTGCCTGGGGCTCTACACCCCGCGCCCCAAACTTCCCCTGAGCGCGGCTCCCGCGGGACTCACCGGGCCGGGGCTCCGGCGCCGCCGGGCGCAGGGTCCACAGCTCTGGCTCCGCTGGTGCCGGCTCTGGCTGGGGCTGAGGCCGGGCGCCGGCGGGGCTCAGGCTCTGCTCCGGCGCGGGGCGGGGCTGGAAGGGGTCCGCCCCTCGCCCCCTCCCCCCCGACTCGGGAAACCCTTCCCCCTGCTTTAACCCTGCACCTGCCGTGGCCGGAGCAGGGCGCACCGACCTATGGTCACCGGCACACGGGTGAACAGACAGGCGGACACGTGGACACTGGGCCTGCCCAGGACTTGGGGTCCGACCTCGGGCGGCGGGGAGGAAGGACGCGGCGATGGGCCTCGCGACCCGTGTAGGATGCGGGCGGTTCTGAGCGGGACCCAGCCTGGGAGCACCCGCGAAGGGGCCGACCAGCAGAACCTGGGGAATTAGGGAGCGGGCGCCCGCCCACCGCTACTGCGCTCACAAGAGCCCACGACAGGCTTCGCGGCGGCGCCCCCTTGAGGCCTCTTAGGGAATGGCTTTGGCCTTTGGCGTGGGCAATGGCTGGGTCTCCCTTTCCCAAGCTCGAACAGGGCACAGAAGAGGTTGTGTGATGCACATCGAGGCTAGCCGTGGGTGGAGGAGCAGAAGGTGCCAGCCTCAGTCCTTGACAGGCCCTTCCACAGGTCTGGGTGGGGACAGTTTGTGTGGGGGAGTGTACCTGAGCAAAGGATGAAGAATCAGAGGCCACGGACCTCCCAGGCAGGTCACTCTGGGCTTGTCCCGTGGGGCCTAAGGCCTGGGCTACTCTGGGACCCTAGGCACGTTGTGACTGTCCATCCTCACGGTCCTGTGTCTGCCTCTAGCCAACTCTGGAGTCAGGCAAAAGCAAGTTGGTGTGACAGAGGCCAACCTACCTTAGACCCAGACCCTGGCTCATCCTATCTTCTGAGCATTAAGAGTACTGGCTGAGTCTGTGAGCTGGGGCCCATTTGTACAGTGGTCACCTAAGATCAGAGGTCCTCATGGATGTTTGTGCTTGCTACCATCCTGTTCCTATTTTATAGACAGTCTGCCTCATTTTCCCCAGAAGCACACCTGGAGACTGAGACAGAAGTGCACATAGTTAGTGTGGGAAATGAGGACAGGAAGCACCAGCAGGAAAGTGGCAAGAAGACAGGGAAACCAGCCAATTAAGAGTGTGTCAAGCAAATTCCTGTTGTGGGCAACTGGGACCAAATCCTGCTGCGGACTCTGGGAGCCAGTGTAGGACCATGGGCCTCACATTATTGTTCCAATCAGAGCAAGGATTGCTAAGGTACTGATGCTCAAACCTCCATCAGAAATGGGCTGAGAGGAGCTCCGGGGCATGAATACCTTAGCCTGCCTTCTCCATGACCAGAGAGTCTTCAGTCCCTTTCAGGCCCTGGCAGATGGAGTTAGAGGGCCGGCAGGGAAATGGTGCCAAGGCTGGTTGCAGATCCTGGCTAGAAGGCTTCCATCCTCCCACTCTGTTCTCTCAACATGCTCCTCACTCAAACCACTGGTACCTTCCTCCTTAGAGTATTCACACTGTCCTGCACACCCTCTCACATTTCTCACTATTCCCTTTCCAGGCCTCTTCCCCCTCTCCTTTCCAGCAATTAAGCACATGAAAGCGTCCTACCTTTAGCTACATCCCAGCACCCAAAGTCCCTCCAGTGTCCCCTTCCTTCCAGTCAAACTCTTGAAGTCATCTTCTCTTACAGGTTCCACTGCCTTAATGTCAACCTTATATCTGCTATCACTGCTCCTTAAAACTTGGTCTTGCCAAAGTCACCATGGGACACCATAAAAAATGGGGGAGGGATGCTATGTTCTTTTTCTTAACTGAAATTTTGCTGGCATCTTCAAAGCTTCACCCCTTGTGACCTTGGCTCTCCTGTTGCTTGTCTTGCCTCTTGGAGTCTTTTACAGGCCCTGCTTTCTCTCCCACCCTAGGATGAGGCTCCTCTAGATCCAGCCTTAGCTTTCCTCCTTGGCACATAGACTCCTTCCTGGGGTGATCCCTTCAAGACCACTGGCCTCCTTCACATCTAGATCTTCACCAGATCTCTGCTTTGGTGGATATGGGTCTAGGGTCCATCACTCAGGGCTAGAAAAGATGCCAAATGGAGGGAGTTCCCTCATGGTCCAGTGGTTAAGAATCTGCCTTGCAATGCAAGGAATACAGGTTCAATCACTGCTCAGGGTACTAAGTTCCCACATGCCTCAGAGTAACTAAGCCCATGTGCCATAACTAGAGAGTCCATGTGCCACAACAAAAGCATGACACAAGGAAGATCCTGTGTGCCACAACTAAGACCTGACACAGCCAAATAGATAAATATTTAAAAGATGCCAAGTGGAAAGCAAGAGCTGGATCCTGGGATGACCCTGTGGTCTCTTCAGCCTCATCTCATCTGATCGCAGTCAGCATCCGCCAGAGTCTAGGTCAAGTCAGACTCGGTCCTGATGAATGATCCCAGAGAGTTCCATCCCAGATATATTGGGTGCCAAGAGGCAGAAGGATTAGCCTCCCCTCAGAGAACTAGGCATCCCAGACCACTTTCCTTCAGCCATACAATTCCCTTGGTTCTAACGTCTGGAAGAGATACAGACTGGGGATGGACCTACCCTTTTTTGTCCTCCATTTTGCACTGACTTCTAGACTGGACATCACCAGAGATGTATCCTCTTTTTTGGACACATCTAGGCCCATGCCATCCCTGGAGGCTGGGCTCTGCTTCTTCATGAAAGTGGATTCTATTTACACAGGCCTGGCCCCACTTGCATACAGAGGGCAACTCTGCTGGCTTTGGAGAAGCTGTGGAAGAGAACTTGGGCAGGTGAGGCTGCATTGGTCCTAAGAATGAACAGTTAATCCTCAACCATGGATGGGGCAGAAATGGGGCTCACTCACAGTTGGGGACTGAGAGTGCTAAGGTGGGACTTCCTGACTGCACCCTCTGAGACCCTGGCCTTTGAGAGCCCACAATTCCCTTCTCTCTACCAACACAAGGGGACTAGAAGCATTTACTCCAGAGGAGCAGGAGAGTTTGCATTTCCTGCTGGATATCTTGGCTATGCTTAAAGGCACAAAGGACCCCAACCATCAGGGCTGAAGCCCTGAGGTGCTTAGGGGCACAAGGTTAGGCCTCGAGTGGAGTGTCCTTCTCTTTAGGAGTGCCCAGACCCCTCTGTATAGGCAGAGAAACATAGAGTAGCCAGAGGATCCTGGGGTTTTATGGGGAATGAGAAGGGCTATTAACCAGTGCCCAGATGAAGCATCCAGACACCCTCTGTGACTGCCCATAGGCTTCTAAAAGCCTCTGCCCCTCACACTCCTGCACAGGCTCCCAAAGGTTTAGAGTGATCCCTGCTGCCACCTCCTCCAGGAAGTCGTCTGTGGTTCCTACTCGTCCGGCCCCTAGACTTTGGGGGAAACGGGGTCTCGGGAGGTCAAGGGTCATTAGGGCGGGCCAGGTCCCGGAAGCGGAAGCGTGGTGACTTCCGGTGCGCAGCAGGCGGCCATGTTGGATCAGCGAAGGCGGCGCAGAGGCGCGTCCTGGGTCCCCGCGGCGTCGCCGGTAGGTTGGGGCTGTGGGCCTAGCCACGCCGCGGAGGGGCAGTCCGCGAAGCGGCAGGGCGGTGGGCCGGGCGGCCGGCTCTTTCGGGACCAGTGCCCTCCGGCGGCCGGGATGAGACCCCCCCCCCCACCCCGTGCCCAGAGACCCCACCCTGGGGCTATGCGACCCGGTCGGGCTCCCACTGTCTGCCCGTACATTTGGCTGCCTCTAAGGTCCCCCGCGTCAACTCTCGGCTTGGGCACCAGGAACGCGAACTCCCAACCTGAGGGCCCTGATCTTCCCTACTCTACCCCGGTTCCGCTTGGATGGGGCTGCTCTCGTCCCGCATTTTTCATCAGTTTCCCCTGATGGTCCCAGGGATAGTTGAGAAGTTAGGGGTCGGGCTGCAGCCTCTGTTTTCCGGAGCCTCTTGGAAAGACCAGAAGACCCCTCCCAGGGGCCCTGGCCAACCTGGACGGAAGCCACAATTTACCCCCAATATCTGTACCTGGAGGTAACAGTCCCCTCCTTATTGTACACTTCACAGTCTGGGAACTACAGCCTTTGGCGGGGGTGGGGGAATAAAAGAGCCAAAGTCATGTGCAAAGACTGTACTTGGAGAATGGCCTCGGGAGAGGGGAAGGGCCCGAGACACCTGAGGATCCAAGAATATTTCCAAACAAAGGACCCCAGGGCACTTTCTCCAGGGAGTTCTGAAAACTTTGCTCCATTAGGGTGGAGGAGGAAGCTGCACAGACGCACCTCCTGGCCCCAGGGACCTGCCTGATCCCAGCTGATCTTTTAGTGCTCCTGTGCGGCTGCAGAGCTGCCTCTGGGACCCCTCAGTGCTGGATTGGGAGAGATATTAGTCCTGATTGGCGGCCTGAAGCTTCTTCAGAGAAGCCTGGGACAATTGGCTCTTGCCAGAAGCTCCAAATGGGCAGTATCGAATTTTGTACTTCTAAGCCTTAATTAGGATCCCTCAGATCTCTTGGGCCCACTTTATTAAGCGTCTTACTTGGAGTCTGTGGCTCCCACTGTCAGACGTTGGGCTCTTGGTCTGGCTGCCTGGCCCCAGGCTGCCTGATTGTCTAGTTGTTGTTCAGGCAGTTAGTCATGTCCAACTCTTTGAGACCCCATGGACTGCAGCACACCAGGCTTCCCTGTCCACCACACCAGGCTTCCCTGTCCTTTCCATTTTCAGAAGCTTGCTCAAACTCATGTCCATTGATTGCCTAGAGATAATTTATTAGTACCTGCTACTCATCATCTTTTTCATTTCTGTTGAAGGAGAGTCTGGCTCTTTCTCTGGGCTTGCTCTCCATGGCTCTAGTGCTAGGAATTGTACCTCTGAGTGGCTTAGCTGGGAACTCTGAAAGTCAGAAATGGTCATGAATTTGGGGTATAAGTCTGGGCCCTTAGGCTGGCATTCAGGCAGCATTCAAAGCTTGTACTGCACTGCTTTCACTGGTTTTTCCAGCTGACCCTCCCAGCCCTGACCACAGATTCCTGTCATAGCAAGTTTGCCCTTACTCTTTCTCATTTCGGAGCCATTGCATGGGCTGTTCCCCTTTTCGTACCGTCTCCACGTGGTCCTTTCCTGTTCATCACTCACATGCCATGTGGGTATTCCTCTCGGGAATCCTTCTGTTGGCACGCTGAGCTGTATGCCAGTGTGCATCCCAAGAACCTTAACGGTATCTCTGTCTTGCCTTCTGTACAGGGTTCCCGGCAGACAGAGGTATTTACCTATATTCCCAGTGTTGAGTTTAGTACTAGGATTTTGGCCAAACTCAGATCTTTCCAGGGGCCCAGCAGTAGGTTGGATGGTCTGATTATGGGAAGAAGCTGTCTGACCAATATGACTTCACCACCTACCCCTCAACACACACTCCACCTTGGTAGGTGGAGAAGCTTGAGGTTTTGCTCCACGGAGTGCTTGTCTCACTCTGACCAGGCCCCTGTGTGTCCAGAGATACTATTATGAATGCTGGCCCTGATTGACCTGTCTACCTGTCCTGGCCCCTATCGTGGTGCCCTTCTTGACTCTCTTCCTCTTGTCTTGGAGGTGCCAGGCGCTGGTTTGTGGATCCCCAGGCAGACCTGCAGTGCCTAATGCCATGAGCGTGGTGGTGCAGCATGTGGAGGAGAAAGCTGTGCACTCCTGGTCACGGATCTCCACGGCGGGGAAGAAGGCCCTGGAGGAAGCGTTGCTTGTCTTCAACCCCATGAGCCAGGATCTCAGTGCCACTGAGGCCCAGCTTGTGGCCTTCCTGCAGGGCCTGCGGGATGATGGCTTCCAGCCTACCATCCTGCGCAGCGGCGATGTCTATGGCTATAGTTCGTGCACAGCCAACCCCCCAAGCCAGACAAAACTTCAGGCTCGTGCCCCCACCCCAGCTGCCACATCACCTCCAGCCAGTGCTCCCCAAACTGCCATGCAGCTGCCTGCAGGCCGGGCCACGCTGCTCCCCATGCCACTATCTGGCAGGCTGGCCAAAGCGTCCACTCCAGCCCTCGCCAAGCATGCTACCACCAACCTGCTGCTGAGCTCCTTGAAGCAGTCAAGTGCCGGCCGTGCCCAGGGTGCGGCGGTGGGCTTTCCCACCCACCTCTATCCAGGTGTCTACCCTGCCATGCGACTCTCCGTTGTCCTTGAGGCCCTAGTTCCCCTCAAAACTCCCGTGGCCTGCTTGGGTGCCAAACACAAGGCTCAATCACTGCAGCTGTCTCTTGCGGACTCCCCCCAGAAGGTGCGGAAAGGTCAAGGGAAGAGGCTGGGGAATGCCCAGCTCAAAGCTCCCAGGAAGGCCACAAGCAAGGGCCCTAAGTGTCTGGCTCGAAGAGGCCCCAGGTCTGGACCCCAGCAAGGCACTGGGCTCCAGAGCAAGGCCTGCAAAGTCACTGGGTCTCTCGGTGGCCCACGAATGAAAGATGGCAGTGCTCTGGGCACCAAAGCAGCTCAGGCCAAAGCTGCCCGTGCCCAGGTCAAGGTGGCTCAAACACAGGCCACAGCCACCCAGGCCCGGGCCAAAGCCAAGGCCGTGCGGGCCAGGGCCAAGGCTAAGGCAGCTGGGAGCAAGGCCAGGGCAGTGCAGGCCAGGGCCAAGGCCAAAGCAGTGCAGGCCAAGGCCAAGGCCAAGGCTGTGCGAGCCAAGGCCAAGGTGGCTCGGACCCAGCCCAGGGGCAGGGGCAGGCCTAAAGGGTCTATTCAGGGCAGGACTGCAATGAGGAGCCGGAAGAGCTGCCCTGAGACTGGGGGGCAGAAGAGGAAAAGAGCTGAGGAAGCAAAGGACCTTCCTCCCCGGAAGAAAACACGGCTTGGGCCCCGATCCCCTAAGTTGCAGCTCGGACCTGGAACGGCAAGGCTGCTGAAGTTCAGGGCCATCAAGGTGGACAGACTGGCCTCAGACGACGAGGTGCGGCAGCAGGCTCAGCGGATCCTCCGTGTGAACCTTTCCCCTGTAATACGACTCCAGCCATTGCTGCCACACTCAGCACCCTGACTCCTTCACACAGCGATGTTTGGGGAAACCAAGCCCTGTTGTGTGTGTGGCCAGCGACACAGTGTGCAGTGCGCATGGATTCCACAACCCCAAGGACTCTGGTTGCCTCTCCAGGGCCCTGAGGGCCACTGACCTCCTTTCAGAGACTGGAGGAGGTGGGGTGGGGTGGGCGGGCAAAAGGGGTGGTCCCATGGCGCAACGCACTGTGACTTGTTGTTATTCAAGTTGTATGTCTATTGTTCCATCTATCACGTTTTATACCTTTCCACCTTCCAGTCTCCCTGCCTTCCCTTTGTGGTCTTTTTTGCGTATGTGACTGCTGGGAGGCCAGCTTGAGCATATAGGAAAGGTGGCCCCAGGAGCCTGGATGCCAGAGAGGGGCCTGGTTGCCTGGGGAACATCATGGGTGTGAGTGAAAGGGGGGCGGCCGAGCCACTCAGAAGTGGGACACCTCCCCTTGGGGCTGCCCTGGTGTGTTACCTAGATAGGTCCCTTGGAGGCAGACAGTAGGTGGCTCCGTGGGGCAGCTTGCAGCTGCAGGTTTTTAGGCCAGGGAAGGGGCGGTGCAGACAGCTGGCCTAGTCTACTGTGGCTGAAACCTTGGGGCTTTGTCGGGGCTTGTCTGGGGCAGGGCCAGGCCTAAATTGGCTGAAGTACTTCTGCCTGTTCTCTGTTCTGCTCCCTCCAGGAGAGGGTCTTGAATTTCCCCAGTTGATGGCAGGGGGTTGGGGGTTGAGTCAGAGGTCAGGGTGGCTGTGGGTTGTAGGGCCACTGAGTCTCCTCACTGACCGGGACACACTCGGGTGGATGGAGTGCTGCGATTGCTGAGCCTGGAGAGTTTGCACACTGCCTCTTCGTGCACTCCGCCTGGGTTCCAAGTGCTCGGTTTCCAGGTCCAGTCTCAGCACGTTTTCCAACAGGGCCTTGTGCGTTTCAGACATTATCGGTTCTGTCTGCTTTAGAGAGGGGGCAGGGCCCTGGGCCCTGGACAAAACTAGCTCCCTGCCCATCTGCCAGCCCTTCACTGGCTGCCCAGCCTGAAAGGCAGCGTCTGGGGCTGGCGAGGAGGGGGACACATTCCCCAGAGGCTCCTGGAGAACAGCCTTTCTCTGCTGGGGCGGAAGCCTCATTTGAATGAGAATCAGGTCTTTTCTGCCTGTGCGGTTTAGTCTGAACAGTGGCCCCACTAGCAGAGAAGCTCTGTGTGCCTCGGTGCCCTCCCCACCTTCCGTCTGCATCTGGTGGCCGCCATTAATATCCTGTCCCCAGCCACAGCCTCCCTTGGTTTCTGCAGCTCTGGGGACCTCTCTGCTCCCAGCTGCGCCGTGGCCCCACCCTGCATGCTCCCTGCCTCTGATAGCCTGGCGTGCAGCTACCATGTGAGTATGGGGATGAAACTGAGGGCCTCACTCAGATCCTTGGGACAGCCCAGCTAGGGGCCTACTCTGTCCTCTTTCTCAGGCCTGATGCTGGCTGCCACCACCCAGGAGCCCCAGCTGGGCTAGGCCCCCTTCTTTTAGCCCTGCTGCTGCTGCTGCCACCCATGGGTGAGAGATGGTCTTTTTCCCTGAGAGTCTTTTGGGGGTGGGGGAGAAATCACCAGGGCTCCGTGGGGGATGGGGCGAGGTGGGGGAGGGTACCCCTAGGATCTCTACTCAGACCCTGCCCCCTCCTAGTCCCGGCTCCCAGAACAAGTGCCCAGGAGGTACCAGACGTGATGCCTCCACCCAGCTGCTCGGGGGGCAGCTGCCCCCCACCTACTGGTAATCTGGTTATTGGCCGTGTCCAGAGCCTTCGAACCTCATCCACCTGTGGCCTCCATGGCCCTGAACTCTACTGTGTTGTCAGTAAACTACAGGTAGGGAGAAGGGTATGGCCTCTGGAGGTGGTATCTTTGGGTTTTCTTGGGCAAGTCCAGCCCCTGTGAGAGATCAGGTCATTGCTGTGAAGTTTGTAGGAGGGCGGGGGCCAGCCATGCACTTCCTGCCAAGTAACTCTGCAGGCGCTTCTCCAGGACTCTGAGAATTGCTGCTTTTGTGACTCTCGGGATGGGAAAAGCCATGGCATTGAGAATGTGGTCTCCCGGAGTGACCCTGATGGCAAAAAGACCTGGTGGCAAGCAGAGAGTGGTGAGGGTCCTTGTGTGCCCCTGTGTGCAGGTCTGGGCTCTGGGGTCAAGGCCTGGCCGCTGAGCAGCCCTTATGGTTACAGGTGTTGAGAATGTCACCATCCAGTTGGACCTAGAAGGTGCCTTTTACTTTACGCACCTCGTCATGACTTTCAAGGTGACCCAGTGCCCCACCCTGAAGGCTTATTCTCGGCCTCCTGATCCTGACCACTGACGGGTGCCCCCGGTGACCCAAGGACACCCTCTCGTCCCCAGACGTTCCGCCCAGCAGCTCTGCTCCTTGAGCGCTCAGCGGACCATGGCCACTCCTGGCATGTGTACCGCTACTTTGCCCACAACTGCTCAGGCCACTTTCCTGGGATCCCTCCTGCCCCTGGCCACAGAGTCGGTGACCTTGTCTGTGACCAGCGTTACTCAGACATCGAGCCTACCACTGAAGGAGAGGTCAGGCCCAGGGGAAGGAGGGTGGGGCCCTGGCATGAAGCCAGAGGCTCAGGCTTGCTTCTTCCCAGGTTATTTTCCAAGTTCTGGACCCAACCATTCTGGTGGAGAACACAAACAACACAGAAATTCAGGGTAACTATCCCACAGTCAGTCCTGGATTCCTTGTGTGTTGGGAAAACCAGAAACCTACCTGTGGGAGGAGAGATCCTGCCTAAATTTGTGCACTAGTGGGGCAGAGAGGCAGGCAAGCCAGCTCAGCCCCCCAGCGATTGTTTCCCAGCCCTGCCGCATCCTGGTCTTCTACCGTGGTCCCTGTTATGGCTCCCTGTCCATGTCCCATTACTGCTCCCCATACCTGTGCCCAGTGCCCAGGGACCAGCATGAGTAGCAGTTTATATTTCTGCCCCATCACTGAAGTCCTTTGTGAGGAGGCCCTACTGTGGGCCCCATCACTGCTGGCCCTCCCAGCCCAATCTTTATCCCCCACCTCTACTCCTATCACACTGTCCCCCTTAAACTCTCCACTCTGTGAGCCTCTGTCACTGTTCCCCATCACAGCCCCTTCAGGGTCCACTGTCTGCCGTCCCACCCCGCCTTAGTTTACTGCATTCCGGAAGCTGCCGCCAGGTGGCGCCAGCGCGTCTCTGGGTGTGACCTCTTCCTTATGAAGCAAATCTTGTTAAAGGACAAGAGAGACTTAACATAACCCAGCAGGGCAGCCCAGAACCAGGCCAGGAGAGGGCCAGAACAGGACGACAAACCCCAAAGTGGCTTTTTCTCTATGTTCTACGATCTCCACCCACCTTGACTTAATTAGATTATTACCACCTACTGTGCGTGCACACACACACACACACACACTCTCACACACACCTTTCACACTTCTAAGGCCTAGAGTGTGTTCCTCTGATCAGAAGAAAGGGGACCTCTAGCAAAGAGATACAGGAGGTGGCCTTGGCTTGGTAACTGAGTTAAGCTGTGTAGAGAAAGGGGGGCCGTGAACCTGTGGAGCCCCACTGCAGGCCAGGCATCTTCTGGGCAGTGCTCAGTGGAGCAGATCAAAAGGGTAACTATCTTGGAGCGGACATAACAAATGAGAGGGGCAGTCAATAAGTACACATACCTCATGTGGTTTGGCTGGGTGATGAGCTGATGTCTGAGTCTAGTGACGGGCTGGGGAGCGGGGTCCTTTACTGCAATGGGGAAGCAGGTTTCCTGTATCTAGAGATACCAGAAAGGGGTGTCCAGGGAGCAGTGGGATGTTCATGTCTCAGCCCCGGGGTGATAGCAGGTCTGACGCAGCGTAGAGGTGGGAAGATCACCACTGGGCTGTGGTCATCTTAAAACGGTATACTCAGGGGGATAGGGATGGGAGAATTGCACAGCGCAGGTGCTGGAGGAGGTGGCTTCAGTGATGTAGAGAGGGGAGAAACCCCCTGCAATTCCTGCTCTATCTTGGGCATAGAGGGATCACAACCTCTATGCACCTGAGGGCTCTCCATGTGTCTCCAGAACTCCTGCGTGTGACTAACCTCCGTGTGAACTTCTCCAAACTTCACACCCTGGGTGACAGGCCCCTGGGGGGCCTCAAGGGCCACCCCTTCTACTACTATGCTCTCTATGAGCTAGTGGTTGGAGGCAGCTGCCTGTGCCATGGCCATGCCTCTGAGTGCAGGCCCGCACCTGGGTCCCCACCCAGCGTAGAAGGCATGGTGAGTACTCTCAGAGGGACATCAGTGGCTGGTGGGAGGGTAAGCCAGGGGACCAGGGTCGACTCATCTTGCCCTCCTCCCTGCCAGGTACATGGCCATTGTGTCTGCCGCCACCACACCGCTGGTACCCACTGTGAACGCTGCCAGGGCCTGTACCAGGACCGCCCGTGGCAGGCAGCAGAGCCTGGGCACCCCCACGCCTGCCAGGGTAGGCGCCATGCCCTGCTCTGTCTGGCCACACCTGCCATGGGTCAGCCCGCTCCTTACCCACCTTCTTTGCCCGGCTCCAGAATGCGAGTGCCATGGGCACGCCCACAGTTGTCACTTTGACATGGCCCTGTATCTCGCATCTGGCAACGTGAGTGGAGGTGTGTGCGATGCATGTCAACACAACACAGCTGGGCGCCACTGTGAACTCTGCCGGCCCTTCTTCCACCGGAACCCCCGGGAGGACCCCCGTTCCCTTCACTCCTGCAAACGTGAGCCCTCCAATCCCCGATCCCAGTTGTGACCCTGATCCGTAAACTTCACATAACCTCTGGCCTGACTCTGTCCCCACTTCTGACCCCTGATCCAGCCTGTGACTGTGACCCTGTGGGTGCCCTGGAAGGGGGTTTGTGTGATGCCTACACAGACGCCACCCGGGGCCTCCTCTCTGGGCAGTGTCGCTGCAAACTTCACGTCTGGGGCCAGCGCTGTGATTCCTGCCAGCCAGGTCACTATGGCCTGAGCCTCACCCAGTCAGAAGGCTGCCAGCGTGAGTGACCCTCAGTGTGACCCTCACCCCTAGGTCCTCCTTGCTCTGTCCCCACTTACTACCCTCATAGCACGCCTGCCCCCGCAGCAGTCTCGTAGCACCCTGACAGCTAGCTGTGTGCCCTTAGCCTGCAGGTGCGACGCCCGGGGCCGCGTCCCCGGCACTCATGCCTGTGATCCATCCAGCGGTGCCTGTCACTGCAAACGCTTTGTCTCTGGACGGGACTGCAGCCGCTGTCTGGTGAGGTTTGACCCCCCGCCCCCCCGCTTCTGATCTGACCTTGACTTGGGGTGCTGAGCTTCTAGAAGCTGACAAGTCCCAGGCTGTAAGAAGTGTGACTGCAGACAGAGCCTTGAAGGTGGGTCGGTGCCACTTCCTGACCTGGCCACCAGAGTCAGCGCTGCTTTGGCTGGCTGAGCCAGTACAGGGAAGCTTTGGTAACAAAAGAAGGAAAAGCAGTTAAAAGGAGTGGCAGAAGTATGGTGCACTGAGTTTAAAGGTGTTTCACTGTAGAAGCGGCTGAAGGGGCACTCGGGGCATCCCCTTCTTGCCTCTCATTGAACATTACAAGTCCTTTAACTTTTATTTCACTCCTGGTTGTGTCATCTAACCTCTTACCACCCCTCTGTGGAACCGGGCAGGAGTCCACAGGGGCCCCTCTAGCTTTCCCAGATGGATACAGAAGAGCGTTCAAACCTTGAGCTCGCCCCCCCCGCTTCTTCCTACAATTGGTCCTCGTATACTTTCAGCCCCAGGCTCCTGATGGTCCTCTCCTCGCCCACATCTTCCTCTCCTTCCTCCACCTACCTTTCTCTCTTACAGCCTGAGTTCTGGGGTCTGAGCGGTGACTCTCTAGGCTGTCGGCCCTGCGACTGTGACTTCGGGGGTGCCTACAGCAACAGGTACAGGGCAGGGCCTGGGGGTCTGCGTCCTGCGGGGAAAGTTGGGAGTCGACTGTGTCCCGTCCCCATCCCCACTTTGGCCCAGGTGTTCGGCAGGGCAGGGCCTCTGTCTCTGCCGCCCCCATCTGCGTGGCCGCCGCTGCCAGGAACTCCAGTCTGGGTACTTCTGCGCCACCTTCGACCAGGCCACTGCCGAAGCAGAGCATGGCCAGAGCCTCCGGCCTGCTGACCCCCGGCTGCCTGTGAGTGTCCAGCAGTGGCAGGAGGAAATCAAGGCTCACACCTTGGGGCTCAGGGCAGGGAGAGCACATCCAGAGAGAGCTAGTTGGAAGAAGAGGCCGGACAAGGTTAGGAAGGTGAGGCAGGTCCAGGTGGGAGGTGGAATAAGCACAGTTGGAAGTTTGGTGACTTGAACAGAGTCCGTATTCTCACGACAGGATTTCCTTGGTGGTCCAGTGGTTAGAACTTTGAGCTCTCGCTGCTGAGGGTCGTAGGTTCAATGTCGGCTCGGGGAAGTAAGATTCCACGAGTTGCAAGGTGTGGCCAAAAAAAAAAAAATCCCGAGCCAGGACACTATGGAGGAACACTGACATTTGACTCGCCCCCAGGGAGCCCCCTGGCCTGCTCCCCGCTACTGTACACCAGCCCCAGGGACCTCCTCTGTGTGGCTCGGGCCCCGACTGTGGAGACAGCATGACCCTCGCTGTGCCCTCCAACGTGCCAGGCAAGCCCGATACAGCCACCAGCTGCCCAGGGTAAGGACTCCGAGGGGCAGGGTTGGGTCACAGGTCACTAGGTCTTAGTAGGGAGGGGCTCAAGCCCTGGGGCTGTGGGTCGCTGGGATCTAGAGGAATGGGAACCTAAATTCTGAGTGTCCTCAATCCTGGAATGGTCTGGGCCTGGGAGTCCGTGTCTCACATCCAGACCCCAGGGAAGCCCCCGCTCCTGCATCGGGGAGCTGGCTCTGCACTGGGGAGGGGCTCAGACTTCGCACGTGTGGTGGACGGGGCTGGCCTCTCTCTGCCGGCACCCCCAGTGCCTCACGCCCTGGACTATGACATCGTCCTCCGCTATAAGACCCAGGTCAGTGGCCTGCTTGCCAGGCAGGTGGGTGGGTGGTGCCAGGTGGTGGGTCGGGGCAGCTCCTTGACTGCTGGCTCCTGATTCTAGGCACCTGAAGTGTGGCAGGCGTTAGTCCGGGTCCGTGCCCAGTCGCAGCCCCGCAGTACCCGCTGTGCCCATCCGCTGCCCTCAGAGCAGCTGTTCCAGGCAACCTTGACACATGTGCACAGGTAGGCTGAACCCTGTGACCCCCAAACCAAGACCGTATTATGTAGCCAACACATTTGAAGCAATACCCAAACAAAGTGGGAAGCACCCAACATGTTACATGTTTAGTTGATAAATCGTGTCTGACTCTTTTGCAACCCCATAGGCTGTAGCCCGCCAGGTTCCTCTGTCTATGGAATTCTCCAGGCAAGAATACTGGAGTAGGTTGCCATGCCCTCCTCCAGGAGATCTTCCCAACCCAGGGATCAAACCCACGTCATGTGCATTGGCAGGCAGGTTCTTTACCATTGAGCCACCAGGGAAGCTAACATGTCACAGAATATTCAAAACAGGGGCCTAATGTAAAACAGGGCAGGGTTTAGCACCTTGATCTTTCTTCATTGGTCATATGATGAAACACTGGACCCCATGTCTGCATGGTGGAAATGGAACGTTCCTGGACCACATGATCATGACCTCCTCAGCCCACCCTTACTCCTCTCCCCGGCCCCTACAGAGCCGTGGTTCTTTCCAGACCATTCTGCTTTGAACCCGGAACACGCTACTCTGTGACCCTGCGGCTGTGGCGGACCAAGGAGGGGCGGAGACCCGAGGGGGGCACGATCCTCCTGGATTCAGTGAGATCCTAGGGGCTCCCTGCCACATCTGGGGGAGACACAAATTATAGCAGGACATTGTGGGTGCAGCGGGCCCAGGGACAGGGGGTCTTGGAGGCCTAGAGTTGCACCAAGAGGACTGAGGTAGGTGGAGAGATGAGGGAGGAGGATCCAGGCGGGGGGAATGCATGTGCCAAGGGTAGAAGGTGAACCAGGCAGGCCCCAGGCCTCACAGGACCTTGTGAGCCAGAGGAGGGGCTTGTCCTGAGGAAGTGGGCGCCCTGGAAGGGACTGGAGCAGGGAAGACACTATTAGAGGGTGGCTGCTGCAGTTATTCGGAGTGACGATGGCATTGCCTACATTGCTTTGGGGCCACTGATGTGTGTGTGTGAGTCTCAGTCATGTTCAACTCTGCGACCCCATGGAATCCTCCAGGCAAGAATACTGGAGTAGGTATCTGTTCCCTACTCCAGGGGATCTTCCTGACGCAGGGATCGAACCCTGATCTCCTGCATTGTGGGCAGATTCTCTGCTGTCTCAGCCACCAGGGAATCCCTGTGGCCACTGGAGATGAAGGAGAAATAGACTCAAAAGAGAAACAGGAAAGCGGCAGGAAGGGGCTGTGATGGCCAACATGTGTACATTGTACATTTCCGTACATTGTACGGAAATTCCAGCGCAGGTGGGAGTGAATGGGACGGGGCTTACTGCCCCCTGCCCCCCACCCTCTACCCTCCTACTAGGTTGTGCTCCTGCCACGGGTTAGAGAGTTGCCTGGACTGAGGTCTGTGGACCCTGGGGCCCCGCGGCGCTTGCAGGAGCTTCACGAGGCGGGCTGCCTGGAGGCAGCGAGGGTGAGCCCACCCCGAAGCATGCCTGAGGCCTGCGCCCGCCTTGCCTGCAGCATCTCAGCCCTGCTCCATGGAAGTGGCCTCGGTGAGCGTGTGGCCATGGCTGGAGGGGGATTGGAGGACAGGGGTTGCAGTGGGCCCCGCGGGGTTCACCTGATCTTGCCATTTCTCCTGCCAGCATGTGAGTGCCACCTGCAGGGGTCACTGAGCACCGAGTGTGCCCCGCTGGGGGGGCAGTGCCCCTGCCGCCCTAACATCACGGGTCGTACCTGTGACCGCTGCCTGCCTGGGACATTTGGCCTCGGGCCCACCGGCTGCCGTGGTGAGCCTTCAGGGCCCGTGGGTGTGGGGTCTGGGATCAGCATGTCATTCCTCTACATGGCTTGATCGCCCCGTCACTTCCCACAGAGTGCCGCTGCCACCCCGAGGGGGCTGCCGGAGCCATCTGTAACCCTATGAGCGGGCAGTGCACATGTCGGGCGGGCCTCGCTGGTCGCCGCTGTGACCGCTGCTTCTCTGGCTGGTGGGGCTTCCCACGCTGCCAGCCCTGTGCCTGCAATGGACACGCCGAGTCGTGCCACCCACTCACAGGAGTCTGCCAGGACTGCCACGGAGCCACCACGGGCCGGCACTGTGAGAGGTGAGGCTGTGCTGGAAGGGTTGGGAAGGGGTCAGGATGAGCGGCCAGGCCCCGCTCCATGTGCCTCTGCCCCCAGGTGCTTGGACGGCTACTATGGAGACCCCACCCTGGGCTCAGGCCAGCGGTGCCAGCCCTGCCCCTGTCCGGGGCACCCTGGCTCAGGCCTCTATCACGGGACGTCCTGCCGTGTGGATAGCACCAATGGACGTGTCCTGTGCCTCTGTGCACCCGGCTATGCAGGTGAGGCACGGTTGGCAGTGACCAACCCACGGCCCCGCTCGCTTGTTCACGGTCCTGTTAGGTCCACAAAGCAAATCTCTGCCAGTGCCACCTGTGAGTTTGAGCTACAGGCTGGGCTCCTCTCCTCACGGAGTTCCCATTCTTTTTTTCTGGCTGTGCTGGGTCTTTGTTGCGGCGCACAGGCTCAGTAGGTGCAGTGAGCAGGCTTTTCTAGTTGTGGCGCGTGGGCTTAGTTGCCTTGGGGTATGTAGAATCTTAGTTCCCTGACCAGGGATTGAACCTGCGTTCCCTGCATTGGAAGGAGAATTCTGTACCATTGGACCACCTGGAAAGTCCCAGGAGTTCCCATTTTTAATGAATTAGAGGTGTGAAACTTGTAGGCAAAGAAGATGGGCCACAATGTGGCCATCCTATCCTCTGCCCTCCTGGCTGGCTGGCCGACTTTTTGGCTGGTTAAGTGGGACCCAGAGGCCTCGAAGGTATAGGAAGACACCTAAAATAACCCACTCTCAACTTTGGTCCACTCCAGGCCCCCGCTGTGACCGCTGCTCCTCTGGCTACTTTGGGCGCCCCTGGCCTGGAGATGACCCCAGAAGGAGTCCGTGCCGGCCCTGCCAGTGCAACAACAATATTGATCCCCGTGACCCAGCTGCCTGCGACCCCCACAGTGGACATTGCCAGCGCTGTCTGCACCACAGCCATGGCGCTGGCTGTGCCCACTGCCGGCCTGGCTTCCACGGCAGTGCCCTGCGCCCAGGGGGCTGCCGGCGTGAGTGTGTGGGTGGGGTGGGTGAGGGCATCCCAAGGAGGGGAGGGGTGGACTCGTGTTCCTCAGCCCCTGTCAAGCCCTTCCTGTCCCCAGGCTGCAGCTGTGACCCCCGAGGCACCAGCCCTGTGAGGTGCCCACCTGGGGCTGAAGCCTGCTTCTGTGACCCGGTCAGTGGGCAGTGCCCCTGCCGCCCCCACACACTGGGCCGGGACTGTAGCCGCTGTGCCCCCCTCTTCTGGAACCTCGGGGGGCCCCGGGGCTGTGAGCCCTGCAGCTGCCACGCCCAACACACTTTGCAGCCGGGGTGTCACCCAGTGAGTCAGCCCGTGTTGTACGTAGCACGTAGCCGTGGCCGAGTGTGAGTGCATGTCTGTGCCTGTGACACAGTGTGATTTAGGGCCCGTGCGCGTGTTAATGCGACCGCCAGCAGAGGTGTGCCGGGCTGCAAAGAGCTGTGTGTCTGTGCTCTTGTGTGACATGAACTGTGAGCAGACCTGAGACCTCACGGGTCCAACCCCATTCATTTGGTGACTGACAGAGACGCGGTCTGAAGTGTGTTCTCGGGTCCCTGCTGAGGACAGGGTGGGGGGCAGGGAGTCAGAGGCCGTGGAGACAGTGGGGCACCCGCCTCAGGACACACAAGGGCCTGTCAGGAGTTGAGAGCCCAGAGGGCCCGTCTGGGGACGGTGGGAGAGTGGGGGCCGGCCTGGGGCTCAGACCAGAGGCAGAAGGAGGGGAGAAGCCTTCAGCCAAGCCCAAGTGTGGGTACTGCCGGGGTGGCATCCGGGCCGAGGCTGCTCTGAGCGCTCTTGCCCTTCTCCCTCCCTCTTTGGTTCACTGACTGGCCACACTCTTTTCCCTCAGGTCACGGGTCAGTGCCCCTGCCGGGCAGGATTTGGGGGCCGCACGTGCTCCCGGTGTCGGGATGGGTACTGGGGTGACCCGGAGCAGGAGTGCAGAGGTGAGCAGGGAGCGCTGGTTCACACGCTCCACCACCACCAGGGGTGAGGCCGTCCTGACAGGGCCCTTGGGGTGCAGTGGAGGAGCAGGGGAACCTTGGGCTTAACCTGAGGGAGTGCACCACGTGTTCATGGCTGTTTCCTCCAAAACTTAAAAGTAACAGTCGTAAAAAAAAAAAGAAAAAAAAAAGTAACAGTCGTGAAAACAACTACAGGGAAAGAGTGTAGGCAAGGCCACGTCAGGTGGGTCTGTGGAGCAGACATGCAGGGTGCTTCTTTCCTGATCCTACCTGCCAGTCTTGACCTGAAATAACCCCAGCTTGGGCTACAGAGCCCCTGGAGCCCCAGGCTGTCTTCCTGCCCAAAGGCGGCCACTCAGGATGGCCCTTCTGGCCAGGGTAGATCCCAGTACCCCTGGCCGTCTGAGCAGTGGCTTAGGAGAGACCACCACACTCACACAGGGCGATTTTCCTCTTCTAGGCCTGTGGAGGTGGGACTGGGGTGAACGCCACCTGCTCCCTGCCCTGATTTTGTCTCTCCCCATAGCCTGTGCCTGTGACCCCCAGGGCTCCATCTCGCCCAGCTGTGACCCACACACAGGCACCTGCCGCTGCCGAGAGGGCATCTCAGGGCCGAGGTGCCAGGCGTGTGCCCGTGGCTCCACAGGCGGCTTCCCACACTGCACGTCCTGCCCTCCCTGCTTCACCTCCTGGGACCAACGCCTGGCTCCCCTCCAGCTGCATCTGGACACAGTGGCCCACGAGGTGGCTGCCCTGCACCAGGGCATGCCTGGCTGGGGTGCTGGTGGCCAGGGAGGAGACCTGCAGGCCCTGGAGGGTAAACTCCAGCAGGCCCAGACACTCCTGGAATCACTTGCCCCCACCGGAGGGCCCCTGCAACAACTTACAGAGTGGATCACCGGACTGAGGCAAGGGATCTGGGGTCATTAGGGAGGAGGGCTCCAGCTGGCCTCCCAGGGTCAGGGACTCAGACGGTCTCTGGCTGGCCTGTCTGAGTCCTGGGCTCAAGAGTGTGGTGAGTCCTTTAGAGTGAGGAGTCAGGGGGAAAGGGGCATTTCTGGCCAAGCTGATACTCCATCTTCCCACAGGACAGAAAGAACCATGTTGGCCCAGGCACTGTGGGTCACAGCACAGGTTGTGGCAGAGAGAGAGTCATGGGTTAGGGGACAGTGTGAACGTTTGGAAGAATTATCCCAGGAGTTAGACTGTGTCAAGGGCCTGGCCTGGCCCAGGAAGGCCACGGGAACCCAAGGTGAGGCCAAGTAGGCAGGTGGATGGGCCGCAGGTGAGGGTGGGGGCAAGGCTGGGCCAGGAGAAAGGGAATAGGTGCCTTTGCTTACGTTTCTGGGGGGCCCAGGAGACTGATGGACCCCACCTCAGCCAGTGGATCCCCAAGTCACCCCTCTGTCATTCCCATCCCCTACAGAGGCCAAGGCCCAGGTCTCCTCAGCTGCCCTGCTTTCTCAAGAGGCCCTGCATACAGTCCAGGTCGTGGCCACACTTGGAGGACCAGACAGCCTCCTGGGACAGGCCCAGGAGGCCCGGTGGTGGACAGAGCAGCTGCTGTGGGCAACGGGCCGGTCCACAGGGCCAGCGGTGTTGCGACTGAAATTGAAGGGGCTGGTCGACAGGGTCCAGAGGCTGAGTCCTCAGCTTTTGCAACTGCTAGACAAAGCTGGAGTGGTGGGTAGAGATATGGATCACTGGGGGATATTTTGCCAAGGCGAGGACTCTCTCCTGGGGGTAAACTGAACGTAGGGCTCTTCAAGATCCAGGACACAAATCCCTCACTGGGACCCCGATCTTGTTGGCAGGGATGCAGGGGTCAGGGACCTGGGCTGGCCTATGTTCCTGTGCCCTCTGGTGTTCCTTCTTGCCCTGGGACCCTGCCTACCTCCCAGTGGGCGCTCATTGCCTCCCGTAACTCCTCCCGTAGCCTGGACATAGCAGTCATCACCTTGGAGCAGTGCCAGCATCTGGTACAGAGCTGTGGGGTCTGTGGAGGGGAGCCTTGGGGAGTCACGGGGTACCATGGCTTGGCCATGGGCTTGCAAGAGACACATTCCATATATGGCCCACCTCTACCAGCTACGGCAGACCCAGGCTACTGCAAGCTCCACGGAAATCCAGGCCTGGGAGACGTGGCATCGTGCAAGGGGGTCCTGGGGCATGGCCACCGTGGCTCGTGTGCAATCAACTGTGCAGACCATCCAGCGTTTCCTCTTGGGTACATGTCTGCTTGTTATATGTCTGTTCACTGCTGAGGGCAGGGGCAAGAGGGTCTCCAGGACCCTGCTAGGACACCCCTAGAATGAGGAAGACTTGTCAGGGCTGACCAGAGGTCCAGTGGGAGTATTAGTGTGCTAGCAAATGTTGAACAGGTTAGACCTGGGGGTCAGGAGGACTTGATTTGTAATGTTTGTCAATTTCCATGGTACGAGTAATTCCCATCATGACTAATATCAGCCTACCTATTATTTAACAACTGGAGGAGGAAATGGCAACCCACTCCAGTTTTCTTGCCTGGATAATCCCATGGACAGAGGAGCCTGGCGGGTTCCAGTCCGTGGGGTCACAAAGAATCGGACACGACTGAGCATGCACACAGCCTCTAGCACACAGGGTAGTCATATCAAAGGCAGGGTCAGTGAGAGGTTAGGGTCAAGGCTCGTTGAATCAGGGATCAGAGTTCACGTCCAGGATCCCTACCTCCATCCCACAGCTGAAGGTGCGGATGCTGTGAGCATAGAGCTGGTGGCATGGCGTGGGCTGGTGGTGCCTGTCCCCCAAGACGGGGCAGTGGGCCTTGCCTTCCTGCTGGATCAGATCCAGGGTGCCCTCCCTGCACCAGAGGCCGTGAGTCAGGAGCTGCCCAAAGCTGAAGGTGTCCTCCATCGGGCACAGCAGACCAGGTGAAGGGGCAGGAGGCTGGTGGTAGAGGTCAGAGGGTGGGGAGGAAGGGAGTACTGGACTGACTGCCTGCATCCTTCAGGGCGGGTACAGCCAGGGCTCTTCACCAAGTGCTGGATTTGGAGGGAGTGCTGGTTGAGGCAGGAACTCATGCAAGGTCTGCAGAGCAAGGACTGCAGGTGGTGAAACAGAGACTTCGGGGTCTGGAGGCCAGTGCACAGGAGGTGACCCATGCCCCCATACCCTCAGCTCCCTCACACCTCTTGTTCAGAGGCTGCTGTCTCTATTCTTCCCCTGAGATCCTTAACCTATTCTGATAACACGGTGCTAAATACCCTGACCGTGTGAACACCCTGCCCTGCCGTGACCTCTCTGTGATCCCCTGATCTCCGCCTCAGGTGGCCAGCCACCTGGCCCAGGTTGCACTGGCAGGGGATGTGACCCCAGTGGTGGGACATCTGTCCAGTGGATCTGCGTCTCTCAGGACCCGTTTGGCCCTGACTCAGCGGCAGGCCTGGGAGGCAGAAGAGCGAGCCACGCATGCCCTGGGCGTGGCCGGGAGCCTGGGCCAGGTGAGATGGGAAAAGCGAACTTCAGGGTCTCAGGGACCACTGTGGAATAGCATGAATTGGAGTTTAGTTGGGACTGGGCTACACTGGGCTGAGGCAGGGTCTCAGTTCTAAAGCCCCTGTTCCCCCCAGGAACTTCAGGGGGCAGTGTGTTTGGGACGGTAGGGTCCAGGTGGGTGGACTTTCAGAGCCAGCCCTGCCCTAGGAGCTGCAGGTGGCCCAGTTGGGTATGATGGAGTTGCAGGAGGGCACGGAGAGCCTTGTGGCCACGGTGCAGGATGCAGGAGAGCGGGCACAGCGGGCCCGAGCTGAGGCCCGAGAGCTGCTAACACTGGTACAGGACAGCTGGAGAAGACTGGAGGGTATGTGGCTGGGCCGTGGTGGGTGGGTACGGGGAGTGGTCAGGGTCAGAGTCAGAGGGATGGTGTGGGAGGGTCAGGGCTGGATCCAGGTTGGGTCCATATTCATATGGGGATCAGACTGGGGTCAAAATCCAGAACAAAGGGGTCAGATGTTGATTAGGGTTAGAGCTTATTTAGGGATGGAGTCAGAGTCAGGGTCTTGATGGAGATGAGGACCAGGGTCAGAGATTAAGGCCAGAGGTCAGAGCCTGGCTCAGATGACCTTAATCTCCAGGGTTGGAACGCCGCCTGGCTCAGAACGAGGAGGCACTGGGCAAGAAAGTGGCCACCCTGTGGGCCCTGGAGCAGCGGGCAGCAGAGCTACTGGGTCACATGCGGCTGTGGGCGAGGGCATACGCCACCTGCTGACTTCGGTCTGCGGATGCTAGTGAGAGGGACTCGGACTACCTGGGTGACTCTGAGTGACCCCACAGTGACCCAGGAATCCCCTGACCTTGAGAGACCAGAGACACCAGAGTGCCTGCTGATCCTGAGAGATCCATGTGACACCATGTTGTTTAGTGGTCCTCTGACCTTGACAAATAGGAGGGGTCACGTACAACTCCCTAAGGCCATCTAGTGCCCCCCGAGGTCCTGATAGAGCCTTATCTCTGAGTGATCGATAATTCTGAGCGCCCTCTAGTATCCCTGGGCCCCTTGGATTGACCACACGACCCCCCTGGTGTCTGGTGACCCCACTCCGGATAACTGGTGAACCTTGATGTTTCCCCTAGAGAACCCCAGCTTTTTGCCCTGGGCCCGCCGCTCCAGGGTACTCTCCAGCTGACCCCGACAGTGGGCGTGGATGTGGCAAGCTCAAAGTCACCCCGACAGGGCCCTACAGACCCCAGAGTCTGGTCCCCGCCGAGGTCCCAGGGGCCTGGGTGGGGCACGCGCTCGGCAGCGCGCATTCCAAGCCCGGATCTGGGCGCTCCCGGAGGGCTGAAAAGTCCGGAGTGGATGAATAGCCAGAAGATCTGGATTCACTCGCTACTGCTCTGGTCTGTTGTCAGTGCCCAGCTCCCTTTTTCATACCAGGAAACTGAGTTCTTCTCATGCCTACTTGTTGTAGTGACTGGGGGAGGCGGAGACTCTGAATGGGGGATGGCCTTTCTCCATCTCTCCCAAACCCCCATGTTATCCTGTCCCTCCGGTCAGGCTGTCCTAAAGCTCCTCACAGGCCCTGAATAGGGGTGCTTGGCACTCTGAGTGTGCCTTTCCGCCGCCTCACTGATGCTGGAGCCCTGGGAATGGAAAGCCTAGCTGATGGAGACTCCCACAGCGCCAACGACACTGGGGACGAAGGCTTGTCCCGTGGGCCCCTTGAGGTCTCCAAGATCACACTCCTCTCCTTGGCTTGTGCCACAGCCCCTGCTTGGTGTGCCCCTGAACTATAGTGGCCTATGACCCCAAACCCCAGTGTCCCCCTGGCTTTGTGCAGACCTGGGCCTGGGGGCACAATAAAGGTTTACAGGTGAGCTGGTCTGTGTCTGGTTTCTCCAGTGAGAGTCGTTCCCAGAGAGGTAGGCGTTTTCTGTACGATGCTGTGCTCCTGCCCGAGATCCGCTCCATGCTTTACTTCCTGCCATACTTCCCAACTTTGCTGAAAGTCGCTGGACTCCGAGCTAGTGGAGGGACCGCTGGACCAACAGAGGACCGAGTGGGGAATCTGCCAAGGACCCACACAGGCAGAGTCAACACGGGACCCCAAGGGAGGGGATAGGAGGGCACGGGCCCCAGACCACTCATCCCCCCTCATCCTCTTCCTCTCCTCTTCAGGATGGAGTGGGTCTCAGCAGGGGGACGAGGGAGGGACCTGCCGGGACAGCCTGGGCCCTGGCAGCTTCAGCTGGGCCTGCTGCTGAGCGGTGAGAGGGCCTGGTGAAGGCCTGGCGGGGATGGGATGTGATGGTGGGTCCTGGGGAGCTGGGTCAGGGGCTACGGAGGGTGGGGTAGTGTAGCAGAACTGGCTGACCCCCTGTTCCCAGTGCTGGTCACTGCCCTGGCCCAGGCCCCAGCCCCGGATGTGCCAAGCTGTTCTCGGGGAAGCTGCTACCCTGCCACAGGCGACCTGCTGGTGGGCCGCGCTGACAGACTGACCGCCTCATCCACCTGTGGTCTGCACGGCCCCCAGCCCTACTGCATCGTCAGTCACCTGCAGGTGGGACTGGGGTGGAGGTGGGGGGGCCGAGTCAGGAGGGACTAGCAGCGGCTGAGACATTGACCCTGACCCTGACCCGACCCAGGATGAGAAGAAATGCTTTCTGTGTGACTCCCGGCGCCCCTTCTCTGCCAGAGACAACCCAAACAGCCATCGCATCCAGAATGTAGTTACCAGTTTCGCACCACAGCGCCGGGCAGCCTGGTGGCAGTCAGAGAATGGTGAGGCTGCGGGTAGGGTATGGGGGGAGCTACCCAGGGCTGCCCACCAAGTAGCCTCAAGGCCCTGACCTCTGACTCCTGCCTCAGGTGTCCCCGCGGTCACCATCCAGCTGGACTTGGAGGCTGAGTTCCATTTCACGCACCTTATTATGACCTTCAAGGTGCCCGCATGTCTGGGAGCCTGCTTGAAGCACCCTGCTTGGCTCCCCAATGCCCGTGAACAGAGTCCCAGATCTTCAGCTCAGCCTCTCTATACTCATACGCTGTGCCCTGGCTCAATAGGAGGCCCTTTCACCTCCCACAGCTTCTGATGCCTCCCACCTCCAGGCCTGTGTACACGCTGCCCCAATCCCAGGCTGGGTCAGGCGCTATCTCCCTGGGGCCCCTGACTCCCCCACTCGGGGTGGCTTTCCTTCCCGATTCTTTCTTGGCTCCCTCTGGTCACCCCTACCTCTCCATGAGCTGCTTGACAGCAGGCCCCAGCTGGACGGGGTTCTTGACAGGCCTGGGCTGGACTTGGGTCCTGGTGCCCACTGATGAGCTGCGCTCCCCACCCAGACATTTCGCCCCGCTGCCATGCTGGTGGAGCGCTCAGCTGACTTCGGACGCACCTGGCACGTGTACCGCTATTTCTCCTATGACTGTGCGGCAGACTTCCCTGGAGTCCCGCTAGCCCCTCCGCGGCACTGGGACGACGTCGTCTGTGAGTCCCGCTACTCAGAGATTGAGCCATCCACTGAGGGCGAGGTGAGGGCTGGGCTCTGGGCCTGGGGCAGAGAGGGGGCCTGGTGGGCGCGCCCTGGGACACAGGGCCAGCGTCTGCAGCGCCTCAATGCCCTCCCAGGTCATCTATCGGGTGCTGGACCCTGCCATCCCCATTCCAGACCCCTACAGCCCACGGATCCAGAGTGAGTGCTCCCTTCTCTGAGCCTGGCACAGTCCCAGCGTCCGGCTGCTGACTATTTGGGGCCTCGGGAGCTATTTTGGGTGTTTCCTAGGGCAGGTGCCAAGTCCAGTTTAGCTCATACAGCCAGAGACAGGAGGTCTCCCAAGGTGACCTTGGCAGCTTCAGCCCCCTGGTTGGCCGTGGGCCAGCAAGAACTGACTGGGCCTGTGGGTTCCCAATCTTCTTCCCTCTGCTTAGACCTGCTGAAGATCACCAACTTACGGGTAAACCTGACACGGCTACACACACTGGGGGACAACCTGCTTGACCCCCGGCGGGAGATCCGCGAGAAGTACTATTACGCCCTCTATGAGCTGGTCGTGCGTGGCAACTGCTTCTGCTACGGACATGCCTCACAGTGTGCGCCCGCCCCGGGGGCACCAGCCCACGCTGAGGGCATGGTGAGGACCTTCAGCTGGCTGGAGCTGGGCTGTGGGCAGGGGCGGGCCCGGCTGGGCCGTACTGACCACTCGTCTGCCCACCCGACTAGGTTCATGGGGCCTGCGTCTGCAAACACAACACTCGCGGCCTTAACTGTGAGCAGTGTCAGGATTTCTATCACGACTTGCCCTGGCACCCAGCTGAGGACCGCCACAGTCATGCCTGCAAGAGTGAGTGAGACCCCAGCCCCCACTGCCCCAAAACTCTGTGGCCTGGCTGTGCCCTGGGTACAACCTAGAGCTGGTTGGTTAAGTCCCTAACACCTAGATTGCATCTGAAGGGTATCTGGAAGGAATTCCCTGGTGGCCTGGTGGTTAGGACTTAGCACTTTCACTGCCAGGGCCTGCATTCAATCCCTGGTCAGGGAACTAAGATCCTGCAAGCCATGAGACGTGGCCAGAAAAAAAATTTGTGAAGGGGGCTTGATTGGTGGCTCAGATGGTTAAAGAAACTGTCTGCGATGCAGGACACCTGGGTTTGGTTTGACCCTGGGTCAGGAAGTTCCCTTAGAGAAGGAAATAGCAACCCACCTCTGTTTTCTTACCTGGAGAATTCCATGGGCAAGGGAGCCTCATGGGCTACGGTCCATGGGGTCGCAAAGAGTCGGAAAGGACTGAACAGCTAAGACTTTCACTTTTCTTCCTGATCTTGATGCCCCCGGGGACTCCTTCAACCTTTCTCAACAGTCCGCTCTGATGAGGGGCCCTGTAGAAAGCCGAACCCCCACCCACAAATTCTGGCTGGAGGCAGGGACCTAAGGTGGCACTGGGGGCGCCTAAGTCCCTTCCTCTCGGGGCACGGTCCTTCCAGTGACCTTTGCCCTCTCCTCCCTCCCCTCTCCCAAGAGTGTGAGTGCCACGGGCACGCCCACAGCTGTCACTTCGACATGGCCATATACCTGGCATCCGGCAACGTGAGCGGAGGTGTCTGTGACGGGTGTCAGCACAACACAGCCGGGCGCCAGTGTGAGCTCTGCCGGCCCTTCTTCTACCGGGACCCGACCAAGGACCTGCGCAACCCTGCTGTGTGCCGCTGTAAGGCGGGAACTGAACCCTGGAGCAGGAAGGCTGTCCCCGGGTTAGGAGCAGAGGATGTGCCAGACTATGGCCAAGTTGCAGAGATTTGGGGTGGAGGGTGGGGGGCGGGTGGAGCCAGACTGGGAATCTAGGGTGGGGCTTGAGACTTGACTGGTGCTGGGCTCATTGGCCTAGGGTAACCCTGCACTTCTTTGTGCCCCCAGCCTGTGACTGTGACCCCATGGGTTCCCAAGACGGGGGCCGCTGTGATCCCCACGATGACCCTGCACTGGGGCTGGTCTCGGGCCAGTGTCGCTGCAAAGAACACGTGGTGGGCTCTCGCTGCCAGCAGTGCCGCGACGGCTTCTTTGGGCTCAGCGCCAGCAACCCCCTGGGCTGCCAGCGTATGTGTTTCCCAGTCGTGACTCCAGTCCTGACCTTGACCCTGGACCTCTTACCCTTGACTCAGCCAGACACGAGCACTGCCCCAGCTCCCCACAATGCTGATGGGTCTCCTTCCCTGCAGGATGTCAGTGTGACCCACGGGGCACGGTGCCGGGGGGCACCCCTTGTGACCGCAACAG